TAGGATTTGATTTAGACTTTGATGTAAATGGTTTGACATTTCTTTTCAACATACAGGACCTGTTATTTATGTTGCGTGGGAATGCCAAGTTTTGGGAGTCGTATTTGGCTTAATGGGGGGGATGTTTGGTGTTCAGGTTGGGTCTGGGCTATATATAGCTCATGGGCATAATCCTGGCTTCAGAATGTATTTCGGTGAGCGCAGAAGAGCTGCAGTGATGTGTCTGCAATGAGGTACGCTTACAGCGAGGTCCTTACTCAGGCTCATGGGTACCTCTGAGTTCAGCATGTCCCCTGTCACGTTTCCTCCTGTTCGCTAAGGCCTGGCTGGCCAGCCTGGGACTGACTGGTGAGCCCCGTGAACAGCTCTCCGGCTGCTCAGTGGCAGCTGCTGTTCCAGGCCTGTTGGCCACAGCCAGACACGGGAGTCCAAATGCCCGTGAGTGGGTTGAGGCGAGCTGGGGGGACCTGCTGCAGTCAGTGTTGCCCAGTCCCATGCCATCGGCAGCAGCTGGATTTCCCGGGGAGCTGTTTTGGAATTTGGCTTGTGTGTAGGACCTCCTCCCCGCTCTGTGTGCTCTCTCTTGTAGGCAGTGTGCTGCGTGTCTTCTGTTGCAAATGGAGATGCTACACGTTAAAATCTGAGCCAAAAGAATAGCCAGCTGTCCCCACATGCTGCTGCTGTTCACCTTCTGCAGGCTTTGGTGCTTGTCTGACAATAGGAGAAGCCAGTTTGGTACACTAGAACAGCAAAAGTCCATCCAAAAACCCCCAGACTTCTTTTTTCTGCCATTTAGCAAAATGATGTGTTCTGAGGCTGATGCAGGGGAAGGGCTTAGAAATCCTTCAGGGGCAGGAAGGGTGACTGTGAAACTGATGGCTAGGCCAGGCTGATCTGCTTTCACTCACCGTAACTTGTGGCTTCACACTCTGCTATGTGAAAGCTTTGACTTGCGGCTTGAAGAGTCAGGAAGTCTCTGCATCAGGAAAAAACAATCTGGGTGTTGTTTGGCAGGTGCTTTAAAAGAACCGGTTCAGTGAGACCACCTTCCAGACAGAAAGGAAGGGGCATCTCTGCTTTTCCCTGGCTAAGGCAGTTCAGGTTTTTCTAGGATACTTGCATATGTAGGTGCTTTTTTCTGAAGTGTGCATTTTGTTTCTTTGGGTCATATGAACTGATGATTGTTACGGAGTTCAGCGTGTGATTTCAGAAACTTAAGTACTTCCTTTGTCAAGTTGAGATATCTAACTGAAATACAAATGCATTCCTCCTGTGTGCTATGGACCCAGCTCCTTGGTGCAGTAGTAAGTGCTTGTGGCGCACAGCACCCTGATATTCAACTACAGAGCCATAGATTTGATATTTTTCAATTTCAGTGGTTTTGAAGCTGGTAGGGGAACTGATCTGTTTCTGGATGCTAGTGTAAGGCAAAATAATCAGTGTGCAATCTTGATTGAGGAGAATATGAACCAGCTGTCCTTGTCCTTCATTGCTTTTTCCTTTTCTATTTTCTTTAAGTGGGAGATGAGAGAAAAAAAAATATTAGTGCTTTTGTTTCATTCTGACAGCTTTCTTGAATTTTGTAAAATGAGTTTCTATCGGATGTCTGAGTGCACAGATTGCTGATGGTGTGAGATACCTTGCCACATGCCAGACCAGCAGTGAGAGTGCAAGAAAGAATCTGCGTGACTGGAAAGTGAAAAGTTTTCTTGAATGAAGAAAAGGTTACTTAGTGGCCTTTAAAATATGCCAGAGATTAATAGTCTAAGTATCATTGGTAACTGTAAGGAATCTCAAACAGGTTTGCAGTGCTGAACGATCCGTCTGTAGCCAAAGGCAATGTGTGTTTACTTAAAAGAGAGCTTTACTACTAAACTCTACTCAAAACTACTACTTTACTCAGAAGTTTGGGCTGAGAAACTACTAACAGACCTAGTTAAAACTTTGAGAGCATAACTAGTTATTTTGTATTTTGGATTTAGGGTTTAATGCAACTTTATGAAGATTTGTGTCATCTCTTTCCTGTCTATGGAGGATGTTAAGAGCATGATGTCTCTTCTGAAAGGTAGCACTGGCAGCATCAGTGTGCTGTCTAGTGCTGCCTAACAAAATCAGATGTAGAAATCAAAAAGAAAAAACTTTTTTAACATTATCCCCATATTCCCAAAGAAGGCTGGGACCAGAATTTAACTTAAGTGCTTTATCTTCTGATCTTATTTGTATAAAAAGAAACAAACTGTATTTTGGGAGATGATTGTCTTAAGAGCGAAAAGTGGAAATCTTTTCACGTAGGGCATCATATCGTATTGTGTAATGGTTATATTTGAGTTTAGGACCTGTTGACCTGGTGTGTTTAATGGTGTAAGGGGATCGCTACGTGTACAAATACTAGCCAAGTGGAGAGGAAAACCTTTCTCGCCCTTTGGACAGGCAGACAGTGAAGCCACTGCCCAGCAAGTCAGTGCAGGCTCTGTCTGTGGAGATTCCCGGACCTGCCTGGAGAAAGCTCTCAGCAGCCTGCCTGGTCTGATGCCAGAGCTGGCCCTGCTCAGGGCAGAGACCTCCCGAGTCCCCTTGCTGCCTGAGGGACTGCAGTGCTGTGGTTAAAAGTGTGAGGCTTTTCTGGTTTTAAAGACATTTGGTAACTGTGTTTTCCTGTCTTCCTCACCTCAGCCTACCTGAGGTAATCGTAGTCTCTTTCTTTTGTCTATCCCAGTTCCTTGCCATTGGTCTCCTTGTCCTTCAGTGTTTTCTGGTTCTCCAGCCTGCTCTTTTGCTGTTTCCCAGCTAACATCTCCCTCCAGCTGCTACCCCAGTTCTCATCTGACTTTCTTTACTTCACCAGCCCTTAGTTCTCTGCCTTCTGCTCGGCTGCCCTCCTTTCTACTTGGCTTTTCTACCCCTCTGTCCCCAGCTCGGTGCCTGGCCTTTGGCCGTGCTCCTGTCCCAGTCAACAGCTTCCTCCTCCGCCCAGCCTGGGCCAGCAGCGAAGCGGTTCTTCTCCTGTGCTAGAGACACAGCTCTTTGCTCTCGGTTTCTGTGCTGCTCACCTCCTGACAAGCCGCTCGAGAGCGACTGCAGGCTTTGTTCACCCCCAGAAGTCTATAGCGTGACCGAATTTTGGTGGACATTCCTACTAGTAGAAGGTATGTCTCTAACAGAGGTTTCTGTCCTTCCCTACATTGCAAAATCAGTTTCAAAGCTGACAAAACCTCAGGCTGCAAATGGAAAGTTGCACTCTGTGTTTGTGAATCTTTAAGTATGAGAACACCTTTTTTTTTTTTTTTTTTTTTTTAACCTGTTTCCTGTGAAGTTTCAGTGAAGTGACCTCAGTGTTTTCAAACAAGCTAGCAGAGGGCAGATGGGTCAGGAAAAGTGTATTCTGAGTTGTTAACACAGTCCAATGTGAGATGCAGAGAATTGAAATAGATGAGCTTTTGTAATGACACGTGGCAGTGGACCTTAATTTACAGCTTCATGGGGGAGCTGGGTGGGGTTTATTGTTTGGTACTTTCAGTGCGGTGTTCTATATGGAATAAATAAAAGCAGTAAGTTGCAATTCAGTGCTTTTGTGGAGAACAAGGACTTAAACATACTGCTACTAGTGCACCTAGAAACAGAATGAGGGGGAGGAATGGTTTTTCCTGTGAAGTGGTGAGAATGTAATAAATGGTGATGGAATTTGGAGACCAAAAGTTAGTTACTGTATACTTGGAATACTGTAATAGCTATTTTTATTCCTCTTTTTACTTTAGAATCTTCTCTCCATTTACCGGCACCGAAGGATGTGATGGTTTATTCCTATAACTTCCATAGTTCACTGAGGTGGTCTCCTGTTAAAGTGGATAGAGGCTTGGTGTTATATACAGTCCATTTCAAAACGTAAGTAAATAGATCTAAAACCAACCAAAATTATTTTGTTCTAATCCAGTAACACAATTGGTTAAAAAAAAAAGCTAAAAATTAATAAGCAAATGAAAGAATGAGGGTTTTGTTACAGATTATCTATATCTGAAAGCAGCTAAGACTGACAGTCTGTTAGCCTGTCATGTCTCTACTAAACTGGGCAAAGATTGAAGACCTGAAAAGCTCCCAGAAAAGTTGCATGGTGTCCTGGATGATTTTAGCCTTACTGAATTCTCTCTCACTAACTTTATTTTTTCCCCAGATACTGAGGAGATGCAGGTGCTGAAAGGGCTGTGAAAGTAAACCTGCATGGAAGTGGCGGTTTCGTAACATATTCTGTTGTTACAAGAATTGTCTAGGTGGAAGGGACTGTGTTTTAGATAGCTGTGCTGTTCTGCTGGTGGTTTATTTGTCCTTTGTTTTGCATTGCAGAGAGGCCCTTAAGCAGTGGGATGAGATGAACTGCACCCGCATCGCCCAGACTGAATGCCCTTTCCCCTGGTCGCTGAAGGAGCGCCGCTGGACTCTGGTTTTGCGCGTGAGGGCTGAGCGAGGGCAAGTGACTTCTGACTGGGTGGAAACAGACCCGTTTGTGGCAGAGAGAAACAGTAAGTGCTGTTTATGATATAAGCGTCTCTCTCTCAGGAGAGATTTATTTGAAAAACATGTACAGCACAAAAGTGAGAGAGCTGTAGGTGTTCAGTAAACAAAGACTACGAGGCCTCGATGTGTCACTAGGAGTTTGATACTGCTTAGTTCCTCTGTAGTGGGGTTAGCAGTGTGCTCTTTCAACAGGTATCAGAAGAGAAACAGAGGAGTTTCCTTGGGTGGTTAAGCCTTATGAGAACTACAATGTATATTACGTTAGAGAGTTTTCCATTTTCTTATTTCCCCACCTAGCGCTGCCGCGTGCGCACGTACACCCCCTTATTTGTGGTAGTCTGAATACAAGCTACCTGTTTCTGTTGAACAGATCCCTTTTCTGATAAGTATAAACTGTCCTGACTACAGTGTAGATGGGTCAAGGCACACTTTAAATCCCGTTAAATGTGTGAACAAGTGTATTGTTCTTTGTAAGATCTGTTCTTTGCCTTGCTGTGTTTGGTTTCAGGATTAGAAGAAAGTAAATGCTGAGTTTAAAAATACCTCTGAAATGATAATGAAGCAGAGGAATGGATTTATTAACTATTTAGTTCAAGTTCTCCTATACCTTATGAGGAGCAATGGTGGTCCCTGCTGCAAAGAGTATGGTCCTTTCCCTGGTGACTTCAGTTCTAAATCTTGGATTTTCTCTAGTAGTAAAGAGTGTGGGAACGAGGAACTTCCTGAGTTGAAGATAACAACTGATATATCTGTAGCTTGTGATGCAGGATTGTTTGGGACTAGCATCCTTTGGGGGTTAGGAAAGCGCTGAGATAATGGGAATACAGGACAAAGGACAAACTTGATGCGGGAGAGATGTTTGTGTGTCTGTTCCTGGGGGGAGCAAGAGGAGCATTATGTGATCATTCTTGCGTGACCGCCCCTGAGATCAGTTCTGCGACATCAAGACCATGGGCTACTCAGTCAGGCTGCTCTTCCTTTAATGTTTGCTTGGGTCAGTCCCACTTTGAGAGGGCAGCTTCAGGAGTTTGCTGGGACACATGACAAGGCATTTGCAGTGGTACAGCAACGGGAAGTAGAAACAAACTGAAATTTCTCTACCAATATAAAAATAATACAAAGATATACTTTATATAATATTTTTCATGAGTACTTCACAAAAGGAGGTCATCATCTTTACCCGGTAGGATAGATGAAGACATCATAGAATCATAGAATGGTTTGGGTTGGAAGGGACCTTAAAGATCATCCAGTTCCAATCCCCCTGCCATCAGCAGGGACACCTTCCACTAGACCAGGCTGCTCAAAGCCTCATCCAGCCTGGCCTTAAACACTTCCAGGGAGGGGGCATCCACAACTTCTTTGGGCAACCTGTTCCAGTGTCTGACCACCCTCACTGGGAAGAACTTCTTCCTAATGTCTAATCTAAAGTTCCCCTCTTTCAGTTTAAACCCATTTCCCCTTGTTTTGTCATTAACTGCCCTTATGAAAAGTCCCTCCCCAGCTTTCTTGTAGGTCCCCTTCAGGTACTGGAAGGCTGCTATAAGATCTCCCTGGAGCCTTCTCTTCTCCAGGCTGAACAGCCCCAACTCTCAGCCTGTCCTCATAGGAGAGGTGCTCCAGCCCTTGGATCATCCTGGTGGCCTCCTCTGGACTTGTTCTAACAGGTCCAGGTTTCTCTTGTGTTGGGGGCTCCAGAACTGTGTTGGGGGTTCCAGAACAAGGAGGAAGGAGGGGGAAATGAGTTACTCTTCTTCCAATCTACATACCCAAACTGTGTTTTTTAGAGAACACGGAGTATGTGGCAAGCTATTTGAAGAAAAAAAAAAAAAGAACAAAATTGTATCACCATTAACTGCAGATAAATTCAGATATGTTCTAGTGAATATTTACTGAATTATCAGGGAAACTTATCAGGAAACTTTTTTTTTTTTTTTTTAAATTATCTAATTTCACCTCTGCTTTCAAGTCTTTTTCCCTAGATTTTTAATAGAGTAGATACCTTAAATGCATTAAGTGAGAAAATGTTGTATTCCCTTTCCTGAGAAAAAGCTGTTGATACTTGGCATGTTTGCTGAGAGTATCTAAGTAAAAAGCTGGAGACAGTATGATGAACTGTTCTGCATCCCAGAGGTTCACTGCTCTTTCTGTGCTTATTTTCAGCTACTATAGGCCCCCCTAAATTGAACAGTGTGACTGCAAGGTCTGACTCACTTCTCATTAGCGTCACACCCCCTTTTGCATCAGAAGCAGGTGACTTTCTTCAGTATCACGTGTCCTACTGGGAGAATGCAACAACTACTACTAAGAAAGTAAGAATTCTCTCTAATTTATTTTGTTCTTAATGCCTTTGTGGCTGAGAGATATGGGTCAGTGTCTCCTGGCAAAACAGCAGAAATGGAGGAAGAAAACTAATGTCTTTTTTTTTTTTTTTTTTTTCCTAGCAGTGAGGGTCACCATTTGGTGTCTTGAAAAAAAAAAGTTAATCTGGTCTTGGCACAAGTATTGCATATATTACGAAACTCAAAACCATCCTTTTTTTCCTCTATATGAAGCAAAGGTTAAATCACATGGCAGATCAAGGATGAGAATCCACAAAGTGTGGTGTCTTTAAAATAGCATTTAGATTCCAAAGTTTGCTTCGGCAATGTGGAAAACTCTGAAATATCATTCCTCCTTTCCTGTGCTAGGCTTGTTTGTGCTGGCAGCTTCAGTAACAGGCTGCTCTGGCCTGATGTTGCCTGTTCCTAGGGCAGAGAAAGGCACAGTTAGTAGAAAAATGCTGGACACAGCTGGGATAAGCTGTCCCTGTTCATATTGAGACTCAGAGGTGTTTGTCTCATGTGCTCATGCTGCTGCCTGGGGCCCTGGTAGTTGTATTCTTGACAGGCCAGCATTGCAGGAGAGGGATTAAGTTACACTTAAAAAAAAGGAAGATGTTTCAAAAGAACGTCATTCTGAAGTCAAATGTTTGAAAAACAGAAGCAAAAAAAAAAAAAAAAGTGTTTTAAAATCCTTTTGTTTCAAAGACCTTGCTAAATCTGACACGCCTCCACTTCCTTCCTCTCTTGCACCAATGTGGATTTTTCTGATGCGCATGAAATACCTTCATGTTTGAGACTGAGACAGTAAGTCCCTCTTGTGTGCTTCTGTAGGCTTCACTGCGGCCCTCAGCCCCTTCCAGGTTAACAATTCCCACAAGACCATGGGGGCTGCGTGGAGACTGTGGAGGTTTTGCACCCATCAGCAGTTTAGCTCTTCAGTAGGAGCTGAGATGGTGGAAGCTCTTCACTGAACTCCACTTCCGTCAGCCTGCTCTGGTGGTGGAGGCACTTCTCATGGCTTGTTTTTCCCTCCCCCTTCCCATGTTGCACTCACTGCCTGAGCTGTTACAGAAGCTGCCTCAAAGCATCCAGCAGCACATTGTGGATGAGACCTTGTATCAGTTCATGCCTCTGCCCTTTGCGCCCTTATAGATGGTTTTAAATGGTCAGGCTTAATTTCATTTAAAAATAATGACATTTCAAATGCATTCAGGTAGGAAAGTTGAAAGGTATTTCACTGCTTCACTTCTTTGGGAAAGCTGAATTATGAAAAATAAAACCTGTGCTTTTTGAATGAGAAACTCAAATATGGGGAGAGGATTTGTGTTGAAGACAGCTCTGTTTTAACAGTAACATTTTTTTTTTTCTTTTTCTTTTAAACAGGAGACACAAACAAGCAATACACTATTCAAAATCGGAGATCTAAAGGAAATGACACTTTATTGTTTTAGTATTCAAGTAGAATTGATGACACATTCACATCCCCACTTACTTGGACTTCAAAGTGCCCCGGAGTGTCACACAACTATAATCAGTGGTATAAATCACATTTGGTTATTTTTTTTTTTTTTTTTTATGTAGTGGGATGAGTGTAGAACATGAGTCTTGGATAGTGTAACTGGTCACTTAGATACCCGTATGTGTCGGGAGTGCTAAGAGAGCACCACTGAGAGCAGTTCACAGCTGTCATGAATGGCAAAATCATAAGGAATTTTTCAGGCAGTACCTGAGGGTCTGCACTGTACTCTTCCCCTCGTCCTCTTCCTTCACAAACATTGCTATGGCTATTACTTTCTAGAAATATGCAAAGAAAGAAAGAAAATACAAATACTCGGTCTTCAGATGAAGTCATTGATGGAGGAGATGTTGTTACTCTTGCAAATCCTCTCCCTCAGCCCCTGCCTCCCGTAGGACAGGAACATCCCTCTGCTCTGTGACCTGCTTCTTCCTCTGACATTTTGAGCTCCATGTTTTTGTAAGAGATAAGGGAGAGGCTGAGGGGAGGAGAGGGCATGTGCAAGATAACAGAGTTTGTCCCTCTCTCGAATCTCTCCCTGTGACCACCAACACAGAGGCACAACCGATCTTCAGCATGCTTTGAACACGCTGAAAGGTGCTTAGGTGAAACCTGCTTACGCAGTTTCTGAAGGCCCACAGGAGCTGACCTCCTGGACAGCATTGACCAGGAACTTGATTGCAAGCCCCGGAGCTGTGATGTTGGAGCCTGTTACCCTCCCTTTGCCAAAGGAGGGTGCATGTTCTGAAAGAGAAGCCCCTGGCATTAGTGCCCTTGGTGACAGCTTGAGGGTGGAAGGACTGCATTCCCTGCCTGCCCTCTGCCCACCAACAGTGTTCCTTCATCTCTGTGTTTGTCCTGCTCGGGTGTCATGTAGAAGCTTACCTCAGGGTGTGTGATTAAGGGGAAGAAGCTTTGGGAGCTGCTGATTTCCATGGGGAATCACAAAACAAGCTACAGGTGTTTAGAGTGCATCTACAGTGGGGTTGTGATCTTAGCCTTGGAAATTATACTTTGATTGCCAAGTATAGTACATTTCAGCTTGCTGGGTATTGTTTTACATTGATGTATAAATAGGAACTTACCATACCTACATGGTGGGTTGTTTTTTTTCTTTTCTAGAGGCAACCAGAGCTGGATATATTATACTAGTATTTCTGTTGGTGTTACTTCTTGTAGCAGTGGGTTTGAGTCTTCTGTGGAGACACCACAAAACAATTAAATACTGGTTTCAGCCACCTTTAGAGATCCCATCACACTTTGAAGAGGTATGTGTAGACATTTTATTTTTCTCGCCCCTCTTCCTCTCGCCCTTTAAAAGACGGTGATAATCTTGGAGTGAATATGAGTGAACCCAGTTGTTGCATAACATAAATAGACATAAATAATTGTTGACTTAGTGTAAACTGTTTCTTTTCTCATATATAATCTCCCACTTCATTTCTCTTTTACCCAACTGAGTTATTTTTTTTTTCCTCTGCACTAAGATACAAATGCTGCTACAGTCCTGTCATGAAACTGGAGTAAGATTCGCTGTTCCTTGGCTGCCCCTTGTCCGCTCCTTTTCTTTGCTTATCTAAGTCATCAGGCCTGAAACAGTTGCTCACTTGAAGCAAAAAATATTTGTGTGCTGCAGAACATGTACTTGGGACCTAGGTCTCTGACTAGAAATCAAATATGGAAAAGTGAGCACTGATTGCTTTTAGAGCAAGGACTGACTTGAAGACTAAGGACCACCTAAGGGAATTTCCTTGGGCTTTTCCTTTTTTCCTGTAGGTTTATGCAATACTCAGATACAAAAGTCATCCTGGGACTTTTATTCTCCTTCTAGCTCTCACATTTCTGTACTAAATGATATTGTTTCAGTCTTGTTCAACTTCTTCTTTTAGTATTTAAACAGGAACTAGTCTTTTAAACAAAGTTCTTGATTTAAAAGTTCTTGTTCAGCATACATTCCGTGTTGTTAAAAGCTTGCATTTGCTTGCAGCTCTTTGAGGTGTGTTTCTTTGTGTATGTCGGCGTGTCAGGGTGGTCCATTGTACTGTGGCAGTTCTGTGATTGTGGAGCTGTTTTTCCAGATTTTTATAGACGTGTTGGTGAACAAACCCAGATTTTCTGCAGAGCCCCGAGGAAATAATTTTCTCTCTTCATGCTACCTCAGCTACAGTCTCAGTGGAGACAGCTGTATCACACATTCAGTGAAGCGTATCTCATGTA